CAAATTCTCGCCTTGATCAAGTATGAAAATCGTTCGAAAATGTTCCTTCATCAAGGTTTATTTATGATCTATCGTTTCCATCATCAATTTGTCTTGATCAACAATCTGGCATAATCGAAAGTCTGCCTAGATCAACAATTTGCTCTGATAAATAACTTGCTTTGATGAACAATTTTCGTTGATCATCATTTGTCCTTATTCAACTATTTGCCATGATGAACAACTTGCCTTGTGATCAACTATCTATATTGATCAACAATTTTTCTTAATCAACAATTGACTTTCTTCAATGGTTACCTTTGATTAACAATTTACGATCATAAAATGTTACCTTAACGTATTATTTAAGGGGAAGCTCACCGCTCCGAAAAAATAATTACGTTTTGATTTTTCTAAAAATATTGGAAAAAGATATAAAAATTTTAAGAAAATCACATATTTTTTAATTTTTCAAAGAAAATTCACGTTCAAAAACATTTTTTATAAGTCATTATGGCATAAAATTGGACTCAAAAAACCACAAAACATCGACTTTTCGGTTTTGCTGAGAGTCCAATTTTTTTTTCATGATGAGATCAGAGCTGGTCAATATCACGGCCGTCATGTGACGATGAGAAAACAGGCCCTCTCACTATCACAAGACGAAACTACATATCATTAGTTTTCTTCTCATTTTTCAATGATCAAGCACTCATGAGAATAATTCTTATGTGGTTTTGACGTCAGCATTTCTAACTGATTTAGATGAATTTAAGCTAACAACCGTATGTAATCGGTAGAGTGAATACATTATTAAGATTTGCTCGGTACAAGTAACTATAATAACATTAAATGAGCTAGTAATTGCGATGATTACAACACTGTCACGTTCTGTCATGCCAAAAAATTCGATGAGATTTTGACGAAAATCTCTATCATCGTTTTCTCATCCAATGATAGTGACAGAAGTATCTCTGTAAATATCGCATGAGATCTTTCATTGAAAATGACATTTGCCAGCCCTGGATGAGATAGAAAAAAAAATTTACATGTAATTTTTGACAAAAATCTAAGGAACAAACTGATTTTCTTTGATTTTTGATATTTTTCCCAATATTTTTAAAGAAATAAAAATGTACCGAAAATATTTTTTTATTTTCGGGCCGGTAAGCTACCCTTTAAGGGGAAGCTTAAAAAATCCAAGAAAATAAGTTTTCTCCTTAGTTTTCTGAAACAATTTACGTGTAAAAATATTGATTATATCTTATCATAAAAAAAAACGGATCCTAAAAAAAATTCTATTTGTCAGTTTTTGCGGTTTCTTTATTCCAATGTTGTACCATAATGATATAATTGATTTGATTTTCGATATCTTTTTCCAATATTTAAAAAAAATCAAGGCTTATTTTTTCCGGGTAATAATCCCCTTAAATCGACTCTATCTAAGATGCAGGAAATTTATTGCTTTGCTGTTGTGAGATGTACTCGCGCTTAATAGATAGATACACGATTGATTATGATTTTGAAGATTTCCTGCAAAAAGGTGGAAAGCGATGCGAGTAGATGGGTTTAGATGCGAGAGATGAAAAAAGATTTTTCATAGATTGATTCGCTAGTGTGAGATTTTTCGACCATTTAAAATCGAGATTTAGATGTGTCGCACCCTCGCCTTAAATAGCAGTCTACCTTGATCAATAATTTGGCATGATCAACAGCTTTGATCATAAACTATGTACCATGATCAAAACATGTTCTTGATTAACCGTTTTCCTCGATCAACAATATTACTCGATCAAATTTAGTCTTGATTAACGATTTTACTAGATTACATTCAGTTTTGATCAAATATCTATGTTAGGGCAGGATCGTGGTTTTCCGGCGGGGTATTCGGGATCACATACGGACACTAGACACAAAAAAAAAACGGAACAGCAAAATCGGCGGAGTAGGCACTTGAAGATCACCAAAACTTTATTTAATTGGAAAAACGATCTTTATTTCTTGGCTGTTGGAACTTTACTAACTAATTTTTATTCCTTTACATTGTCTATTTAACCTACTGTGTTGGAAACATTTCATCTACAAAACTTGCATGCAACATTTGCAGTGCAGTATTAGAACTGCCAGCACTGCCTGTCTTTATGAGCAACAATCAGTTGGAGAACTGTCAATTTATAATGTCCAAAATCTATACTTGATCAACAATTGTTATTATTTAACAATCGGATTTGATCAACGCTATCTTGGTCATTGATCTGCATTGATCAACAAGAGACTTCGGTAAACGTTTTCCCATGATCAACTATTTGCGTTGATCAAATTTCGCCTAACCCAACGACGTTTCTAAATTATAATCTGCCTTGATCAACAACTTGCCATGATCAACACCTTTCCATGATCGACATCTTGTCATGATCGACATCTTGTCATGATCAACAATCTGCCTTGAATAACAACTTGCCTTGATCATTAGTTAGTTAGTTTTATTTATTAAAGAGACTTTCAGCCTGTGGATTGTTCGCCTCCCCTTGATCATCAGGTATGTAATCATCAAAATGGCCAAGGTTGGAAATTTTGGTCCGCTTACGGCATATACGAATTTATGTACAAGGGAGGATCATGTGGATCTCCTCAATCGGGTTCTTCCTAGTGCATTGGTGTCTTTTTTTCCTGATACATTCTTCTTCTTCTTCGCATTTAAAGCTTATTGCATATCGCATATTAGCTTATTGCGTGCTCTCAATTTAGTGTTCTAGATGCACTTCCACAGTTATTAATTGAGAGCTTTCGATGCCTGTACCATTTTTGCATTGGTATAATTGTGTGGCAAGTCCAATCATACTTCTATGCCCAGGGAAGTCGAGAAATTTTCCAACCCGAAAAATTCCTAGACCGGACCGGGAATTGAACCCAGCCACCTCCAGCATGGTATTGCTTTGTAGCTGCGCCTTTACCGACTGAGCTAAGGGAGGCCCCCTGATACATTAGGAAGGTTAATTTTTTTAAATATATGGATTACTATAAATCATCTTTGTTTTATGAGCACTAAGATATTTTTTCCGATCCCATAGACTTCCATATCGATTTTTAAATCGAGATAATTTTGAATTTTAAAATTTTGATAATTTTGAAGCAAAATAATCACTTCACTTTTTGACAGAAAACTAACAAATTGAAGGCTCACTCCCACACAAAGAGTACCACCGAGGGGCGCTATGATGATGATTTTGACGTAGGACTACGTCTGTGATTTCTATATGGGAGTACACTTTGTTAAAACAGAAAATTGAACATGTAACAAAATTATGATAGATTTTAAACGTTAATAACTCAGCTGCCCCTGGACCAATTTCAATAATTTTATCACCAATCGATCAGATATATTTCTACGCATCTGATAACTTTAAGATTTTATCATTTTTTCAAAATGTAACTATTGAAAATTGCACGAATGTGCAACTTTTGCATTGATAGTTAAAATTATCACCGATATCCTGCGAAAAGCAATTTCCCTAACACAGATTTCAAAATTGAATTCCATCTGGTCTCACCAAAAGGTGTTTATTCAATCACCGCGTGGTGAGTGGTGGTGTTCTCCAGTATACAACGAAAGGCTCCCTGCAAGCAGCGAGCTACAGCCCATATGAGCATCCATAGAAGGAGGCTGAAGCCGCACCGTTATTGATCGGGATCAGTAGCTCTTCGTGAGTTGCTGTGGGCCATCTATGTCAAGCGCGTCATACTAAATAGTGCAAGCAGAGAGAACCACGCTCAAATTTCTATTCCTACATAAAACACAAGCTCCTGCTGCAATTAACAAATAAGATTTATTATATAAGACCACGAAGTCCTACGTCTCCATTGCATACAACTCCATAGGGCTGTCCCTTGTATTTTTTGCTAATGTTATCACACTTATTTAAAATAGTTGCAGTGCTCCAAATTTGATGAAATTTTTGATATGCAATGCATTTGAAATGCAGATTACGAATATGCAATCATATCAGAAAAATCAAGTGGTATTGAAAATGCTGTACCTATCCTGCATGAGAGCAAAATCGGAGAAAATCAAAATCGCGTAAAAACAGAATTTAGTGAACTGTGATGTTGCGCATTAGATCCATGAATTAACGTGTAAATTTAGACGGAACTAAAGTATAATAGTGTCAGTTTGAGTCAAAAAATTTCAATACTTGAATCACAATTTTTGAACTTCAATTTTTAGTTTCCTTCACACATTGATGAATCTAACCAGGAATAGCCGAACCATTTCAATTTACCACGAATGACGTTCCCAGTAGCTCCCAGTGAAAACAAACAGGCACAGCGCCGACGCCCTGCGCTGACCTACATTTTCCATTCCATCCAGGTCGACAGGTCCCTCGGAGTGGAAAACTATGTAGAGCCGAGTACACAAGCCTTCCCACGGAGGAGCACGTCCGTCTCTTTAATAGTAGTCTTTACAAGTGGGTAAAATTACCGACATAGATCGAGAGGGGGGGGGGAAGATAATGACAGTTTGTCAACACTTTTCGTCTCTATCTCGACGATTGTCAACCATCGAGGCATTATCGTTAATCTTGTTGGCCGTTAGTCGATGACAGCGACCCTCATCCCTAGATGCATTAGAGGACGTCATAAAATATTAAAACATTTCCTGCACTACATTTTAACGCCACACAAAAAAAAAAACGTTAACTTCAATTAGTGAATGGCATCGATAAATCAATGCCAACAATCTCGCACACAAAAACTATACAGCCAACTGTTCCGTTTCTCACGAATCACGGCCAGAGTTTTTGTCCGGGTGCACATCACCGGTTCGAGGTCGGTGTAAACAAACCCCTTCGTTTTACGTCGCTGCTTTCACGTACATACCTCCACATTCGGATGTAAGTATTTCTATATACATATTTGCGCAACTGATTTGGCCGTCCGTCGCAAACCTCAACCCAATCGATTTGCACTTTCTTGCACGACAGGAAGATAAGGCTTCTGTAGGTAGGTCGGTAGGTACTTACCGTCCGCGTCGACTTCGTTTATCATGTCTTGCAGTTCTGCTTCTGTGGGGTTCTGGCCTAACGATCGCATCACGGTTCCCAGTTCCTTGGTTGTGATTGTGCCGTCACCGTCTTTGTCGAACAGCGAGAACGCTTCTTTGAACTCGGCGATCTGTTCCTCTGTAAGTTGATCGGCCTGGAGATGGAAATAAAATTGTTAGTCATGTGTGTCGATTATTGAGGTGGATTGGCGGTTTCTCGGAGTTGGTTCGCACGGCACGGTGATTGTGGTTACCGATGGCATATATGGACTGGAGCATGAAAGTCGATTTTCCTGAAACAAGATGACAAATAGCCTTCCACTTGAATTTCTCAAAGAATCCGAAACATTCCAGTACCCAATCAATCAAGCAACGAAAAAAAAAACGTTTCCTCATAACTTATCATCATCGTACACCTGCCAGCTCTCAGCTTTTCGCCCTGGAACCCAGATGCTATCCTAATAAGCGTAAAGATAATCATTTGCACGTTTCCCCCTCCGCCTTCGCACCGTAAATCAATCTTCATAGGATTTGAAGCCAACAAGAAAGCACCCGAACCGAATTGTGATTGATGCGATTCGCGCAAAAATCAAAATTTTTGCTCCCCCTGCGGGGTAAGCCAATTTCCCACCCTGGCCCAGAGGAAAAATAAAAAAATGAAATCCCGCTGCCAAAATATTAACAGATGGTTTACTCTGCCATCTTCTCCAACAAACGTGCTTCAATGCAAATTTATCCCGTTTTTATTTTGCTTGTAGAACACAGAACGGCCGAGCGCTTTCCTGCTCCTCCGTCATCAATCAAAATTTCCGTTTGCTTGCCGCGCGTCCGTCCAACCTGCCGCCCCCCCTTCCCGTCCGACAGCGCGTCAATGATCCAATTTGGACCAGCTGAGATTGAGACATCAAATGTGATCATTCGCGACGACCATTGCCAATAAGCCCCCCCCCCCCACACAAAAAAGTGAGGAGTTTGGGGGGTCACTAATTTCGGAAATCGAGAGAGGTAATTTTCCAATTTAGCACCGCCACCGGCCGGCCGAACTGAAGGCGGGAGGAAAACGGCGATAAATTGCATCGAAACTTGTTTGTATTCCGGATTTGCGTTTTTTTTTTCTTCAATAGATCGAGCAGACATGTAATTTCCTCCCATTTTTCGCGATGCTTGACCATGTGGTGGCACGGCGGCGGCAATTACTTTCACGCCGGAGAGCCTGTTCAACCGGCGCTTGGCACCGAAACTGGTTTCACTTGTTCCCTTTTGCGCCGCATGGTAGGTGGAAGAGTTTGTCTGTTTTCGTACTTTTGTTTTCTTCTTGATGGAAAAAAAGGGGGCATTTGAGCGGAGGCGTAGCGAGGACCATTTAAGTAGGTATGTTCAGTCGTTTGAATCCGTCAAAGGAAGTGATTGAGCACTCAGTCTGTCCGCAGTTGATGGTGTACGACTATGTGACAGGGTACGAAGAGGATCAGTTAGGAAGCATTTCAGGTTCTAAAGCAGTCGACTAATCCGTAGAATGCTGCAGTGCTTCCTGCTCCATTTGAAACTTCATGTTCTTGTTTCAAGCATATTGTATGCCAACATCTCGAAAAAATTGGATGCCGCTCTGGGTCCCAAAAGTTTTCAGATTAATTCGCGTTTAATCGTAATCGCCTTAATAAGCCGACGATCTAAAATTGACACATAAAAAATAACAAACAAATCTGCATGTTTTAGTTCTTCTTCCGACATGATTGATTTCTAGAGTAACATTTGAAATGAGCCTATGTCCAAAACGTAAACAAGCCAGAATTTAAAATTTTTCCGTCACTATTCAATTCATATTAACACTCCGAATACGGTGGGTAAAAAACTTTACGCCGACCACGAAGCCTCCGAAAAACGTGTAACGGCAAGTTTGCAATGTCATAGCTTAGCCATTTCTTAATGAATTTCAAAAATTGTGGTACCTTTAGAATTCCTAGGGCTTGTAGATGATTTTGATTGCAAAAAGATTGAAAATAGAGTCGTCTACTTTTTTAAAAACCGAAAAGAGTTGTTACACGTTTTTTTGAAAAGTGTATTTGTAGGGTTTTGCAAGTGGCGCAAGATCTGTAATTTAGATTAATGGGCACAAATATTCACAATTAGTCAGAAAACAGTCATGGTTCCTATATATGGATCCTGGAGACAACGGAACGGTCCTCAAAAAATCCGGAACATCCGTAAAAGTGGACAATCCATGAACCGAATCCTAGAGCCCTGCGGTTTTTTTTTTTTGAAAACATTAGGAACTGTGATATAAAAAAATATTTGGGGTCGTAACATAAACATGTACCTGGATGGCTATGGGACCGTCCTCCGGAAGATCCGGAACATCCGTAAAAGTGGACAATCCATGAAACTGATCCTAGAGCTCCGTGTTTTTTTAACATTAGGATCTGTGATATAAGAATGAATTTGGGCCATGGACCCAGATGACCATCGGACCATCCAGCAGAAGATCCGGAACATCCGTGAAAGTAGTAAATCCACGATCCTGATCCTAGAGCTCCGCAGTTTTTTACAAACACTAAGAATGTGATGATAGAATGAATTTGGGATCGTGGCATAAACATGAACCTTGATGGCCATGAGACCGTCCGCTGGAAGATCCGAAACATCCGTGAAAGTGGAAAATTCACGAAACCGATCCTAGAGCTCCGTGGTTTTCTTGAAAACGTTAGGAACTGTGATATAAGAATGAATTTGGGATCGTGACATAATCAAGGACTCAGATGAGTCATGACATAAACATGGACCCAAATGGCCATGGGGCCATCCTCTGGTAAGTCCAGAACATCCGTAAAAGAGGTCAATCAATGAACTGATCATATAGCTCCGCAGTTTTTTTTATAAAAACATTAGGAACTGTGATATTTGTGGTCGTGACAAAAACATGGACCTTAATGGCCATATGAAGATACGGAAAATCCGTAAAAGTGATCTGGTCAGTGGTGGCGGGAGGGGGACACCCCTCACCATCCCTCTCCAAAGGGGGAGTTTGGTAAAGAGAGATAAAAAAAAACCGCTTTGTACCTTCCTTAAAAGTTGTCCTAGCTCGCTATTCTAATATCTAAATGCAATCTTCACACTGCCGTACTCTAACGAAACTATCAACTCTATGCTTTCATCTACTCCATCTATCGTATAAAAATTACCACTACAGTCTGTTATTTGAAATTAGCATCTTCAAAATAAGAGTGATTTGCGGAAAAACCCGCCAGTATCGCACCCAACGTCAGTGTCTATACGTAAGCGTACTACAACGCGGCTTTCAAACAAAGGAGTAACAAGTGTGATACTATCACTTCAGGCTAGAACTTTGGTTCTCTCATGCAATGGTTCATCAGAGAGGGGAAGCTCAGTAATCCTCATGGCAATGCTCATGACGCTATTCTGTCACGGCATGAGCCAACGATGCCGGACCTAAACCAACCGTCTCCAACGCTCCACTATGAAGCATAAGATTAGGCCCACCCACCAACGTCCAGGTTAAAAACTAGCCAAGGGGAGCGTAGTTTCATTGATTGACCATTTTTAAAGATGTTCTAGATCTTGCGACCGCAAATTAATTTATATATGACAGTTCCAAGTGTTTTCGCAAAAACCGTGGAGCTCTAGGATCAGTTCCATACATTGACCACTTTTACGGATTTTTCGGATCTTCCGGAGGACGGTCCGATGGCCATCTGGGTCCATGTCCCAAATTCATTCTTATATCACAGATCCTAATGTTAAAAAAACACGGAGCTCTAGGCTCATTTTCATGGATTGTCCACTTTTACGGATGTTCCGGATCTTCCGGAGGACGGTCCCATGGCCATCCAGGTACATGTTTATGTCACGACCCCAAATATTTTTTTATATCACGGTTCCTAATGTTTAAAAAAAAAAACCGCAGAGCTCTAGGATCAGGTTCATGGATTGACCACTTTTACGGATGTTCCGGATTTTTTGAGGACCGTTCCGTTGTCTCCAGGATCCGTATATAGGAACCATGACTGTTTTCTGGCTAATTGTGAACATTTGTGCCCATTAATCTAAATTACAGATCTTGTGCCACTTGCAAAACCCTACAAATACACTTTTCAAAAAAACGTGTAACAACTCTTTTCGGTTTTAAAAAAGTAGACGACTCTATTTTCAATCTTTTTGCAATCAAAATCATTTACAAACCCACGGAATTCTAAAGGTACCACAATTTTTGAAATTCATTAAGAAATGGCTAAGTTATGACATTACAAACTTGCCGTTACACGTTTTTCGGAGGCATCGTATTCGGAGTGTTAAAGAAAATTGAAGTAGGGGAAATGACGGCTTCGGCATGCCAGACTATTTTCGGCAACCCAAATTGAAACACTATTTTCACTGGATTTTCTTACGAAAACACTTCGCTGAATGCATGCAAACGATTCTTTATGCTTTCAGCTTCAATTTGACTATATTTTTACCACTGAGAAAAAGCAATCTAGCAAGGTTTTCTTGAAATGAAACACACGCACTACAAATTGTAGCTGATTTCGAGGTGCTGATAATAGAACAGCAGATTTACATGCAGTTCAAATGGAACGGTTGCCGAAGAAAAACTGGTTGCCGACAAAACTCGCTCTCACTAGAGAAGATTAGAGCTTTGTAAAAGCGTTTGAAAACAGTTTTTGACAATTCTTTCGAGTGAAATTGTTAGAGCAGCTGGCAGCAAAAGATTGTAAACAAACCAATACTGCATATGTGTGCGTTCCATAGAGAAAAAGGCTATAGAAAGAAGGTCGCTGCTTAGGTTGCCGATAATACGTAAATTCCCCTATTTTAGGCATTAATATTGTTCACAATAACAATAGTAACTGTATCTCAGTAAACAACATCCAAAATATGTGAAAACCTTTCAAAAATATATGAAAATCGATAACAATTTAATTTCATAAATTAATAAGTCTTTTTGTGAATCTTTCAATGGATAGCCCTTTTTGTTAAGCCGTTGTGCTTGTCATCAGAAATTGTACGCCCTTTGCTAAGCCTTTTCGCAACGTCAAATAAATTCAAAACAAATCATTGGCCCTGCCTCAAGCAGTAAAATTTTCAATCATCGGCCCTTCTACGTCACTAGACCTATCAATGAAATGAAATAAATGAATGA